CTTTTTATAATCGTTTGCTTTCTTTTCACATCATTTTTTAAATTTTAGATCTCAAGGATGCGACCTGATATCGAGGACCGGGATTACATGTATAGATTGATGATCAGGTGAGCGAATCTTTTAGCGAATCTTTTTTATCTAATCTTTTACTTTAGCCAACTCTTCTACGATGGACAGCAACAAATTGCACTCAGCTTGGCCTCGTCAATCGGTTGCTCAGCGAATCCGCCGGCTCCGTGCGACAAACTCTTCCGCCTCATCTCGATGGCCAAACAATTCGACGAGGCTGAACAACAGGACGAGGAAAATGGACTTCAGGTTCTTCTTGTTTGGTTTTTTTGAAGTGAAGTTTTTTAGTTTGATGCAAATTCGGCGGGACTTGCTTTGAAATTTGAGGCTGACATCGTGCCCGAATCGCCCGAGACGTGCATGTATGAGACGACTGCTCACAAAACCTCTTGTCGATCTGCAGCTTTCAATTCTGATGGTGGGTTTTATTTTGGAGCAACTTTTGATCGAATTAAATTCGCAAGAAAGTCTTTGCTAAGATTTGAACTGGAATTTCTTAAAAACGAGTTCACCAATTCAAGAACACTTTGTTCTACCATTTACAAGCCGTCTTTAAGAAATTAGTCGTAAAAAATAAGGGCAGCTTTCCTTTTAGGGATTTTTCAAAAAGTATGATTTTCCAGCGTAAATTCAGCTCAATCAGTTGAGTGCTTTTAAGGGCATCCTTGATTATTAATTTGAAAGGTTTAGGATATGAAGGATTTTTTGGATAAAACTTAGCTTTATCTACGTTTGATCGCTTCTCATTCGTTTTTGGTACATTTTTTGTTGGTTTTATGGTTTATTGGAGTCAATTTTAGTATCAGATACAATGTGTTGGATTTCTACTGAAAAATGGTTACTGCTCTAAATTAACCTAAAAAAAGTGTCTTTTGGTGACAAAAGTGACTTCGGTAAATCATACAAATTTCAATTCCAATGACCTCTTTTTATTTTCAGATACGAGAATGCCGGTTGTAACGCGTGCACAAAAACGGGAGCAAGAATCGGAACCAAAGAAGTTTGAAGATTTGCCTCTGGAGCTGGTTGAAAAGATAGCACACCATCTCGATGTGGAAGACGTGGGGAAATTGATGATGGTGAACAAGAGGCTCTACGCGAGCTATGCAATGGATCAATCAATCGTTTTCGGAAAGCACGTCGCTGTGGTTGCCCTCCGACAGGACTCCCCAATGAAAGATTGGATCCAGAAGTTCGTCGATTCTCCGGACCTTCAACTGGATGCAACTCTTCTTCCTTTCGTCAAACGAATTGATTCATGCGACAAGTTAGAGATCGTTACCGAAGCCAGATGAACCAGATGGATGCCCGTAGACCAATTGAAATCCGTGAATGAACTCAATTTCTGTGTTTACACGAAGGAAGATTGCCTGAAGTTCCTCACCAATTTTTGTGGATCGGTCAAAAAGCAAGCATCTCTGTGCATCAGATCATTTGTACAAGATCAAGAAGTAACAGAGCAACTCGGCAAATTCATCGAAAACCAATTAAACGGATGCCAAGAGATCCTTCTATATTCCGACTTCGGGGATGGCTTCCACTTCTACCACGAGGCCATGATGAAAACGCAAGTCAAAATGATTGTAATTGGCTAGACCTCGCGCCATGAATTTGAACAAATCGTCGGCTGCATTGTCAATCGAGGAATTCCAAGTAAAAATTCTGAGGCTCGGATTTGCATTACTGATGATGGTGGAAAGGTTTATGACTCGGTCGTTGATTTTCTTTCACAAAAGGACGGACTTGAACGAATCGATGACGGCGAAATTCGCTCGGCACTGGTTGCTCGTGCAAACGACCTTTTTTCGGATCGCGTGTTGGGTAAAGATAGTTTGTGTTTCCACCGCCGAATCGACCCAACAACGAGTTGCATCTACCTGTTTGACGCGTCTGTATATTGTCCTAAGTTTTTGGCCTTCTACATGCCTTCCCAATGAAACAATTATTTGTTGGTACTTTTTGTTAACTTTCCAACCAAGTATTATCGTTTTTGATGTACTTTAACGTGCCTTAATCTGTTCTCTTTTGAATCCTTGCTCCATCAAGTCACTTCTGCTTTTATCAAAAAGGCCAGGCAGGCATGATCCCAGATTTAAACTTATTTCAGGTAAATTGATTTGAATAAAGTGCTTAAATGCAATTTATCATTGATTCATTTAAGAAGGTCGGATTTAGATTTGAATCTGAATTAGGCAGATAGTCATTGAATTTGAACAGAATAGAATTAATTTATTCTTCAGTCTCTACAATTTTTCTCTTCTTGTGTTCAATGAGTTTACTGTGTGTCCATTTGTCAATTAAACATGTTCCGTTGTCACTTTTTCATGCTGACAGGAATAAAGTATTGATATATCTCCTGGCTCGGGTCTAGTTCGCTGCTAATTGGTTATGATCCCATTACAGATATATGTTGTAATTTTTTGTGGAGATTACGGTGACTTTCCCCAGTACTCATTGTCAGTCAGCTACAATAATCCCTGACGAACTGTAATCCTACAAGGCTTGATGGAGCTAAACAAGTTTCGTTAGATCCAACTCCATCACCGCCCGGCTATTCTGTGATCTGTTCCAGAAAGAAGCGGCGCTCTCCCGCTCAAAAGAATCTCGGCTGCAATCTCAATTTGAAAACGCTGGATCTTCTCGAAAAATACCAGGTAAACATTGTTGTGCAATTAATTTCTGATGTCGAGAATTGACTTGTAATTGTTTGAAATGATTGAACTTTCGAAAAGAAAATTTTTGATCTACTGGGATAATCGGTAAATTGTAATAAGATTTCACTAAAATCCACAAAATCACAAATTGCAAAATGCACTAATGAGCAAGTTTTGAAGCGGTCAAGTTTGAAATTTACTTTTTTGTAGACATTAACACGTCCAGTTTTAGTGTTTAATCAGTACGGTTAAGTTCAAAGGTTTTGAAAGTTTCAACTTTTATGGGATCTAAATATTCCCATAAAATTAGTGACCCAAATGCAACTAGGGAAGAATAGTGTGCAGCTGCAGTGGGTTTAAACTCGGTTAAAGTCAGCAATATGGTATTTTGCATATTATCTAATAACTTCTATAGATTGAGGCACGTTGGCGGCGTTGAGTGGGTGTGAGATGGAATTGGTTAGGAACCCGCGCGTTGTAAGTTCTAAGTTTGTATCTTCATTTTAGAAATTTCAGTGGTTCAACAGCAAGTCCGACGAGCCGGTGGGAGGCTCGACAGTTGACGGACGACTGCTAATGGCCTATGATCGAATCGAAGTGAATCGGGATCGAGACTTGGAGGAACGATTGAAACAGTAATTTTCGGTCGTTTTAATGGTTTTGGAATTTTCTTATTTAGAATCAAAACACTCTATTTCCCATCCTAAACTCAAGTCACTTCTGATTTTATCAAAAAGGCAAAAAGGTCAGGGATTATTGTAGCTGACTGGCAATGAGTACTAGGGAAAGTTATCGTAATCTCTGGAAAAAGTTACAACATAAATCGGCAATGGTATCGAACCAGTTAGTAGCGAACTAGACCTGAGCCAGGAGATATATCAATACTTTATTCCTGTCAGCATGAAAAAGTGACAACGGAACATGTTTAATTGAAAATTTTTAATTGAAAATCACAGTAAACAGTAAACAGACACACAGTAAACAGTAAACAGACACACAGTAAACTCATTGAACACAAGAAGAGAAAAATAGTAGAGCCTGAAGAATAAATTAATTCTATTCTTTTCAAAAACGATATTATTTGGTTAAAACAGTAACAGAAAGCACAATAATTTTTCATTTGGAAGGCATGTAGAAGGCCAAAAACTGATGACCTGAACGCGTTAAACAGGTAGATGCAACTCGTTGTTGGGTCGATTCGGCGGCGGAAACACAAAGTATTTTTATCTCAAAATTATAGATTGTTTGTTTGGTATTTGAAGAGACACGAAGTTTTGATGGTGATAAACTGCCGCGCGGCTCATCCTAGAGGCATTCATTGCCGCTTTGGAAACGTTGAAACCATGTACGGCATTGTCTATCGCTAATATTTTTACTTCTCCAACAACAGAAATAATTATACGATGCGATTCAGCCGCACATTTTTTCTTGTTTTAAATCGTAAAGCAATCCAGCCTGAATCAAAAATTTTTGGTCTTACATTTAAGGATCGTAAAAGGAATGATGAAATTTCGAAAAGATTGTTTACATTGTTTACAATCATTTTACATATTTTAGTTTGTTTTTATGCAAAAAGCGGGAAGAAAGCTCTTTTGAAATTAAAAAAGAATAAAAAAGTGAGCAGAAGTTTGAAAGTTGCCAACTTCTTTAACATCTAGCATAGCTGTGATTTGTCTTTTTTTGCGCAAAGCTTCAAATATTTTATCAAGAATGTTTTTGACACCGGTTTTTTAAAAAAGAATAAATCAAAGATAAAAATGGATTGAAAATTGAGCAATGATTTTTTCTGGGGTTCAAAAAAGGAAATTGTTCTGAAGAAAAGGCAAATGATGAGGGGAAAATGAAATGTAAAAGAATGAAGTATAGAATAAAAATGAATGAAATGAATGAATGAAAATGAAAAGTATTGGTCATTTTTAAAAGTTTATAAAGTGGAAAGACTACCTTAATGTAATAGTATCCCTTGTAACATCTATCGTAAACTCATTGTTTTCTAAAACATTTCCCTTTCCTTCAAATTACCGTAATCTTGTCTCCATTTTGTCCTAATTTTACCGTAGTCTTGTCGCCATTCTGTTCTAATTTCTACCGTAATCTTGTCCCAATTTTTCTCCAATCTATCCACTTTTTGTCTGATTCTGTAACGGATCACAAAGAATAGCAAAAAAAATATAAAAAGTGGATAGATTGATAAAAATAGACAAGATTACGGAAAGGGAAAGGGGCACTATTTAGAAAACAAGGCCTTTCACGTTAACTGAATATTTTAATCAATCACAAATCGGTTGTAGGCGCTCCACCGGTCGTTTTCCACAACTTATGACAGTTTGCGCATAAAAGATGACCATTTAACGGATGACATCGTTCATTGTAATCGTCACCCAATTGCTTTTTGCAGCCCTGAAAGGTTGTAATGGGGAAAATTGCTGTATTTTGTGCTCAAATTTGTAAACCCATCCTTCCTCGTGCACTGAATTCATCATTTCCCGTGGTTTATAAGAAAAATGGTGAATCCATGGCGCGAGGAACGATGGGGTTTACAAATTTGAGCACAAAGTACACCACAGAGCTGAAATTCTCACCCATCAACTTAAAGAACTAATAGAAATGGTTTCAACGTAAAATTTGACCGATAGATTCCCGAAATCTCACTTTTCAAACTCACCATAAAAGTTAAAGTATTTTCTGAAATATTTATAAGATATTCAGTCTAGAATAAGCTTCAATACAATCAATTTGGATTTAAATTTTTAACAATTTTACCTCACAAGAGTAGCACTCAAGATGATAATCGTTGCCCAAAGCGACCACTCGAATTGTTTTACCGCTTCCCTGAAAGGTATTAATATTTATATTACCTTTAAAAGATATTCAGCCATTGTTTAGTTATAGTACGGTATCTTTCGACTAAAGTATTCCTACTTAATCATTTTCTGCTTTCTTGTAAAAGCGGACGAACGTGCTTTGTTTAACTTAATTTTAAGCCTTTGTACTGCAAAAGATTATCAGATTATTGATTATTGATTCACTCTTCAAGGATTACGATAGTCGACCAAGTACGGTATCTTTTTCTTTACGTACAATGAGTACAATCCCGTCGAGACATTTGTGGCATACAGAGCACGTGAAACAGTGAGGATGAAAAGAGCGGCCGACGGCTTGCAGAACCTGGAGTTTTGTGAATAATTTTGGACAAGGGTTTTTAGAAGTTGTGATACGCAATACTGACTTGATCTTTTACTAATCCCATACGCGAATGATCTAGACACTAGACTTGCTCATTCCCTAATAGAAATTCAGCCGTTTGGCCTCTCCGGGTTTAGCTTTTGAGATGATGGACCCACAAAAACCGGGCGATACCGCACAAAGAATTGGAACCAAACAGAAACCAAATAGATTCTCATCCCACATTGGCAATCAAGGAATTCCAAGCAAGAATTCTGAAGCTGTGGTCCTCATTTTAAGCCAAACGGAAATAGCTCCTGCCCGGGTCGTTGGTTTTCTTTCACAGGTGCAAGGACTTGAACGGATCACTTACGCTTACGAATCGCTACGTGGCTAACACGTTTTTAAATCTTCGATTTTTGGCCTTCTACATGCCTTCCCAATGAAACAATTATTTGTCACTGCTTTCTGTTACTTTTTCAACCAAATAATATCGTTTTTTGTGTACTTTACGGTACCTAATCTTTTCTCTCTTATATCCTTGCTCCTTCGTGGACTCCTTAACGATCTCTGCTTTGCCCATCATATTCTTAATTCCTCTATTTCCCATCCTTAACAGTCACTTCAGATTTTATCAAAAAGGCCCGGCAGGGATTTACCAAAAAATTTAACTGCGGTACCAAAAACAAAAAAAAATTGACCAAAAAGACCGAGTAAAACCCAAAAAAAAACAAAGAAACAAAGTCGCTCGGCTTCTTCCATAATTTGTCGCAACCTCTCCGATGCAGAAAATCGATCCATTGCGAACATCGATCGATCATCACCCAACTAAATGTAAATATGAGTAAAAAGTTTCAAAATGCTAGTTAACTAGTGAATGTCTGAAAGAACTTACTTTCACGTTATCGACTCGTCGATTGTAAAATTCGCTATTTCCGAGTTCACTTTATCGATGTTCAATGACTTTTTACGTGCTAGAAATAGCAAATTACAAATACTCACTCAAATTTTCAAATGTCAAAATGTTCCCCAGACACGCAAACAACAACTTCAGCCGAACGTTTTGCTTCGTTGTTCAACGCGTCCGGTGGGCTCTAGACGTGGGCTCTGCTTGTGTCCTTGTGCGTTCAGCATCAAATCTGAACCATAAATAATGTGGCTTTCTGCTTAAATACTTTACTTAGTTCCCAAGTATCACAAACGCTCAAGAACGTCTCTTTCTAAAATAACATGATAAATATTAGCACAAAAATAGATACTTGGCCGAATCTTTCAAAGGTTCTTGCCGCAAAATCACAGAATTGCTTCATGAAGCTTGATTTACTCGTCTTGCTGCGTCCTTTTCAGCTGTACAACCTATAAAACAGTTTCGTTAGGTAAAAGGAAGGGAATTGAAACCTGAAGTCAATCTTTCTATCGTACTTGATCTAGAAACCGTGCGTCGTTCACTCGTTGACCATCTAAAATTTAAACTTTATTCAAAACAAGAAAGATTACGCGACTTTCCCAAGAAAAGTTGTTAATGTAAAGAAAACTCACTGCTCATCATCGGGCTCAATTTCTTCAAAGCTACCACTTTTTGAAATCTCGGATTGAGTCGTATGCTCTTCGTCCAAATTTCGATCCATTAAGCTAAAAAGCTACACCGATTATGGAAAAGTAACCATAAGGCTTTCGCCGCTTTCTGCACACATACTTCTAGTCTAAATGAAGCCTATTTTTTTTTCGTTAACGCTCTTACTGAATCTGTATCAAATTCTTGTCACAAAAATCGTCATCAAATCAAATCAAATGGCATCAAATTCAATTTTTATGCCTAGTCCCACTAATTTTTCTTCCCCCTTCGAAAACGGCCGATATCGTGGAAAATCTAGTTGCACAATCTAAAATTTCCTGCTTCATCCTCACAATTTTAAGCAAACCACTAAGTTCTTCAGGATTAACAGGCTGCTCCCAGTTGCTAAAACATCTCCACGTGCGTTGATTCTAAATAAGAAGTTTTCGAAACATTAAAGCGACCCCACATTACCGTTTTCATCGCTCCTCCAAATCTCGATCTCGATTTCGATCATAGGCCATTCGCAGTAGCCCGTCAATTGTCGAGCTTTCCACGGGCTCGTCGGACTTACTGTTGAACCACTGAAATTTCTAAAATGAAGATACCAACTTAAAACTTAAAACGCGCGGGTTCCTAACCAATTCCATATCACACCCACTCAACGTCGTCAAAATTCGCTCAGTAGTGCATTTTGGAATTTGTGGATTTCAGTGAAATCTTATTTCAATTTACCGATTATCGCAGTAGATCAAACATTTTCTTTTCGAAAGTTCAATGATTTCAAACAATTACAAGTCAATTCTCGACATCAAAAATGAATTCCACAACAATGTTTACCTGGTGTTTTCCGAGAAGATCCAGCTTCCTCACATTGAGATTGCAGCCGGGATTCTTTTGAGCGGGAGAGCGCCGCTTCTTTCTGGAACAGATCACAGAAGAGCCGGGCGGTGATGGAGTTGGATCTAAACGAAACTTTTTTAGCTCAATCAAGCCTTGTAGGACTTTATTTGTCAGGGATTATTGTAGCTGACTGACAATGAGTACTAGGGAAAGTTACCGTAATCTCCGGAAAAAATTACAATATATATCTGTAATGGGACCATAACCAATTAGCAGCGAACTAGACCCGAGCCAGGAGATATATCAATACTTTATTCCTTTAAGCATGAAAAAGTGACAACGGAACATGTTTAATTGACAAATGGGCACACAGTAAACGCATTGAACACAAGAAGAGAAAAATTGTAGAGACTGAAGAATAAATTAATTCTATTCTGTTCAAATTCAATGACTATCTGCCTAATTCAAATTCAAATCTAAATTCGAACTTCTTAAATGAATCAATGATAAATTGCATTCAAGCGCCTTATTCAAATCCATTTACCTGAAATAAGTTGAAATTTGGGATCATGCCTGCCTGGCCCTTTTGATAAAAGCAGAAGTGACTTGATGGAGCAAGGATTCAAAAGAGAACAGATTAAGGCACGTTAAAGTACATCAAAAACGATAATAATTGGTTGGAAAGTTAACAAAAAGTACCAACAAATAATTGTTTCATTGGAAAGGCATGAAGAAGGCCAAAAAACGTACTAACGCGAAAATCACCTACAAACGTGTCAAACAGGTAGTTGCAACTCGTTGTTGGGTCGATTCGGCGGTGGAAACACAAACTATCTTTACCCAACACGCGATCCCCAGGTAAACCCTTCAAAAACTCGCTTGCACGAGAAACGAGTGCCGAGCGAATTTCGCCGTCATCGATTCGTTCAAGTCCGTCCTTTTGTGAAAGAAAATCAACGACCGAGTCACAAACCTTTTCATCAGAACCAGTTGGCATCGTAATGAAAATCCCAGCTTCAGAATTCTTACTTGGAATTCCCCGATTGACAATGCAGCGGACGATTTGTTCAAATTCGTGGGGAAAGGTCCGTTCAATTACAATCTTTTTGACTTGCGTTTTCATCATGGCCTCGTGGTAGAAGTGGAAGCAATCCCCGAAGCGGCAATTTAGACCGATCTCTTCGCATCCGTTCAATTGGTTTTCGATGAATTTGCCGAGTTGCTCTGTTAATTCTTGATCTGGACCAAATGGTGTGATGCGCAGTGGTGCGCGCTTTTTGACCGATCCACAAAAATTGGTGAGGAACTTCAGGCAATCTTCCTTCGTGTCCACAGAGAAATTGAGTTGGTTCACGGATTTCAACTGGTCTACGGGCATCCATCTGGTCCATCTGGCTTCGGCAACGATGTCTAACTTGTCGCATGAATCAATCCGTTTGAGGAAAGGAAGAAGAGTTGCATTCAGTTGAAGGTCCGGAGAATCGACGAACTTCCGGATCCAATTTTTCATTCGTTCCGGCTGTCCGAGGGCAACCACAGCGACGTGCTTTCCGAAAACGATTGATTGATCCATTGCATAGCTCGCGTAGAGCCTCTTGTTCACCAACATCAATTTCACCACGTCTTCCACATCGAGATGGTGTGCGATCTTCTCAACCAGCTCCAGAGGTAAATCTTCAAACTTCTTCGGTTCCGGTTCTTGCTCCCGTTTTTGTGTACGCGTTGCAACCGGCATTGTCGTATCTGAAAATAAAAAGAGGTCATTGGAATTGACATTTATATGATTTACTGAAGTCACTTTTGTCACCAAAAACCACTTTTTTAGGTCAATCTATAGCAGTAACCATTTTACATTGTAAAAATCAGATCAAGAACTTCAAAAAATTGTATCTGATACTAAAATTGACTCCAATAAACCAGAAAACCAACAAAAAATGTACCAAAAACGAAAGAGAAGCGACCAAACGTAGATAAAGCTAAGTTTTATCCAAAAAATCCTTCATACCTTAAACTATCTAAATTAATAACCAAGGATACCCTTAAAAGCACTCAACTGAGTGAGCTGAATTTACGCTGGAAAATCATACTTTTTGAAAAATCCCTAAAAGGAAAGCTGCCCTTATTTTTTACGACTAATTTCTTAAAGACGGCTTGTAAATGATAGAACAAAGTGTTCTTGAATTGGCGGACTCGTTTGTAAGAAATTCCAGTTTAAATCTTTGCAATCTTAAATCAAGACTTTCTTGCGAATTTAATTCGATCAAAAGTTGCTCCAAAATAAAACACACCGTCAGAATTGAAAGCTGCAGATCGACAAGAGGCTTTGTGAGCAGTCGTCTCATACATGCACGTCTCGGGCGATTCGGGCACGATGTCAGCATCAAATTTCAAAGCAAGTCCCGCCGAATTTGCATCAAACTAAAAAATCACACTTCAAAAAAACCAAATAGAAAGAACCTGAAGTCCATTTTCCTCTTCCTGTTGTTCAGCCTTGTCGAATTGTTTGGCCATCGAGATGAGGCGGAAGAGTTTGTCGCACGGAGCCGGCGGATTCGCTGAGCAACCGATTGACGAGGCCAAGCTGAGTGCAATTTGTTGCTGTCCATCGTAGAAGAGTTGGCTAAAGTAAAAGATTAGATAAAAAAGATTCGCTAAAAGATTCGCTCACCTGATCATCAATCTATACATGTAATCCCGGTCCTCGATATCAGGTCGCATCCTTGAGATCTAAAATTTAAAAAATGATGTGAAAAGAAAGCAAACGATTATAAAAAGATTTAAACGGAGTAAAACAATACAATCTAGAGTAATAGTCATTTTAATTGTATTTCATTAATCCAGAGGAGTAATCATTTTTCATCGTAAAGGAAAATCAAAAGAATGGCAAAAGGGGGATTTTTGACAGGGGTACGGTCGCGAATTTAAAAGGGGAACGCTTTCGCGCCACTCTTTTGAAACCATGTCAATAGGAATCTAACTTCAGAAAAGAAAGAAAGAAATTTTGAAATGGTCTCACGACAGTCAATTCATATTATTAGACAACGAAAAACCATGGGCAAACAATATAAAAAGGAGGAAACGAACGAGGGGAGAGAGAGTAGTTAAAAAAAAGTGCTACAAAAACATAATAGATTTTACGAATTGGGAAGCAAACTTAGCGGGAGACCGGACAACATTCATGCTGAAAACTGAAGAATGAACAACATCATGGAATGCCAAAAAATGAAAAGAATGGCAGAAGGGGGATTTTTGTGTGGGGTACGGTAGCGTATCCCACAAATAGAGCAAATGTTTTTCCAGGCCTATCGACGTCGTGTCGATGCCTCCAGATAAAAGTGATAAGGCTCAATCGTCCTATAATCATCTCATACTGGCAGTATGGTTTAGTTACGACAACAATGAAACGTTGCAAAAGTTGTCAACATTATTGGACGAGTCATCGCTATTAAACGTGTCTATCTTTTTGGGCGGCTACTTAACCTTTTTGTTGATCGATCGAAAAAAATTGATCGACATCAATATCTTAAAAGAACTTTGAAATCACTGAAAAGAAATTATGCCTATACCGTGATAAATTCCGACCGCTGACGACTTCCCGTAGATACATACATAATTCAGGATTGCTATTTTGATGCTATTTTTTAAAACGATAATAAACATTTCGAATAAATCTTTTTATGGTTTTAGAGACTAGAGTTTATTAGCTAGAAAATGCTTTTTAGCACTTTCAATTCGACTGCCTTTTATGGTAGTAATCTTTGAGAGGAAATTTTCTGCGGCGAGGTGACAATACATATGAAATACATATGAAATACCAGTGTATGAAAATGAAGGTTGAGTCAAATTCAGTGGAAAAAGTGCAATTGCGAGAAGCTTTCAAAGAGGCTAGATTTCCTCAAAACACGTAGGACTGATGATTTTAACGGGCTAAAGATTAAAAAACTTTACTAACATCGGACTTATAACGAAGCATTTCAAATTCAACCGCAGATACATCGCTCCAAAATGAAAGCTCTTGACTGCTCTTGATCGGTTCAAGCTTCTTGAATTTCCATGTCGCTTTGAAGCACATTCTAAAATTACTAAACGATGACTTTTGTGTGGCGAAGAGGGGCTGGAATCACTACATTCGATCATAGGACAAGTATGTCAATGAATTAAAAGAAAAAATAAAGCTGATTCCCAAAGTTGAAACGCTACGCCATTAATGTTTTACTATTTGATTTGGATTTTATTTTGTTCTATTCACAAAGTGTTTGTTTAATTTTTTTTAGCATAAATTTAGGTCGCAACGGTGAAACAATGTCGCAATGCCGGCGCTCTTAGGCTGATAACTTAGTTTTTCTGTAATTTTTTTTGTTGAATTGATAGAGTAGTTGTGGATTTTCTTCTTCAGCGTGTCAATTTCCTTTCACAAAAATAGTACAACACCTTTTGAAAAGAAATAAAAGTTGGAAATTTGCATTTAAAGTTTGTACTGAAATTAGCATTTGCACAACTTCAAGTCATTCAATCATTGTGTAACAGTGTAACAGTGAAATGCTGCAAAACAATTAAACAATTAAACATGTGCTTGTCGTTGCCTTTCGCCTTTTTCTTCAGTCTTGCAGTGGTGGTGGTGACTAAAACAGCGACAAAACAAAGCCGACAAAACGATTTAAAAATAAAAACTTACCTTAAGCGTTGATCCAAAATTTGTATCCACAGTTTTAAAAAAATACCAGAAAAAAATGAAACGAATAAATAAACGGCAGCCTTTTATATTTTGAGGATTTTTGGGTTAACTGGGTTACGGTATCCCAAGTTAACGCGCAGAAAGTCGACAAATATCACGTTCAACTTCAAAATACTACTAATTTTTTCTACGTGGTCCAATTTTTATGCTTTTGACACCAAAATGCTTGTAGAGTATAGGGGCATAGAAGCAAATTGAGAGATTTTTTTGTCTGCCCACCATTTGCGAGACTTGGCCTTATAAATTAGGTGAGTCCGGCAGGAGTCCGCGAGTCCGGCAGGAGTCCGCGAGTCCGGCAGGAGTCCGCGAGTCCGGCAGGAGTCCGCGAGTCCGGCAGGAGTCCGCGAGTCCGGCAGGAGTCCGCGAGTCCGGCAGGAGTCCGCGAGTCCGGCAGGAGTCCGCGAGTCCGGCAGGAGTCCGCGAGTCCGGCAGGAGTCCGCGAGTCCGGCAGGAGTCCGCGAGTCCGGCAGGAGTCCGCGAGTCCGGCAGGAGTCCGCGAGTCCGGCAGGAGTCCGCGAGTCCGGCAGGAGTCCGCGAGTCCGGCAGGAGTCCGCGAGTCCGGCAGGAGTCCGCGAGTCCGGCAGGAGTCCGCGAGTCCGGCAGGAGTCCGCGAGTCCGGTTCTCTGTGTAACTTTCTCTGTAGACTTTTGCACCACGATTTTCAGGGGTGTTTTGACAATTATATTTTTTTCTCGATGAATAAGTTTTGTATAGCGACAGCGTTTGTGTAAATAAATTGTACATATATTTGTGTAACTAAAACTATTAATAGCTTAAAGAGCGCCATGAACTTTATCAGAGAAAATCGATGCAACTTTTTCGAAAATTGAGTGTTAAAAGACTTTTGCACATGACTGTAGCTGTGATTTGTCTTTTTTTTCGTAAAACTTCAAATATTTTATCAAGAATGTTTTTGACACCGGTTTTTTAAAAAAGAATCAATCAAAGATAAAAATGGATTGAAAATTGAGCAATGATTTTTTCTGGGGTTCAAAAAAGGAAATTGTTCTGAAGAAAGGCAAATGATGAGGGGAAAACGAAATGTAAAAGAATGAAATGTAGAATAAAAATGAATAAATGAATGATTGAAAATGAAAAGTATTGGTCATTTTTAAAAGTTTATAAAGTGGAAAGACTACCTTAATGTAATAGTATCCCTTGTAACATCTATCGTAAACTCATTGTTTTCTAAAACATTTCCCTTTCCTTCAAATTACCGTAATCTTGTCTCCATTTTGTCCTAATTTTACCGTAGTCTTGTCGCCATTCTGTTCTAATTTCTACCGTAATCTTGTCCCAATTTTTCTCCAATCTATCCACTTTTTGTCTGATTCTGTAACGGATCACAAAGAATAGCAAAAAAAATATAAAAAGTGGATAGATTGATAAAAATAGACAAGATTACGGAAAGGGAAAGGGGCACTATTTAGAAAACAAGGCCTTTCACGTTAACTGAATATTTTAATCAATCACAAATCGGTTGTAGGCGCTCCACCGGTCGTTTTCCACAACTTATGACAGTTTGCGCATAAAAGATGACCATTTAACGGATGACATCGTTCATTGTAATCGTCACCCAATTGCTTTTTGCAGCCCTGAAAGGTTGTAATGGGGAAAATTGCTGTATTTTGTGCTCAAATTTGTAAACCCATCCTTCCTCGTGCACTGAATTCATCATTTCCCGTGGTTTATAAGAAAAATGGTGAATCCATGGCGCGAGGAACGATGGGGTTTACAAATTTGAGCACAAAGTACACCACAGAGCTGAAATTCTCACCCATCAACTTAAAGAACTAATAGAAATGGTTTCAACGTAAAATTTGACCGATAGATTCCCGAAATCTCACTTTTCAAACTCACCATAAAAGTTAAAGTATTTTCTGAAATATTTATAAGATATTCAGTCTAGAATAAGCCTTAAAATCTTCAATACAATGAATTTGGATTTAAATTTTTAACAATTTTACCTCACAAGAGTAGCACTCAAGATGATAATCGTTGCCCAAAGCGACCACTCGAATTGTTTTACCGCTTCCCTGAAAGGTATTAATATTTATATTACCTTAAAAAGATATTCAGCCATTGTTTAGTTATAGTACGGTATCTTTCGACTAAAGTATTCCTACTTAATCGTTTTCTGCTTTCTTGTAAAAGCGGACGAACGTGCTTTGTTTAACTTAATTTTAAGCCTTTGTACTGCAAAAGATTATCAGATTATTGATTATTGATTCACTCTTCAAGGATTACGATAGTCGACCAAGTACGGTATCTTTTTCTTTACGTACAATGAGTACAATCCCGTCGAGACATTTGTGGCATACAGAGCACGTGAAACAGTGAGGATGAAAAGAGCGGCCGACGGCTTGCAGAACCTGGAGTTTTGTGAATAATTTTGGACAAGGGTTTTTAGAAGTTGTGATACGCAATACTGACTTGATCTTTTACTAATCCCATACGCGAATGATCTAGACACTAGACTTGCTCATTCCCTAATAGAAATTCAGCCGTTTGGCCTCTCCGGGTTTAGCTTTTGAGATGATGGACCCACAAAAACCGGGCGCTACCGCACAAAGAATTGGAACCAAACAGAAACCAAATAGATTCTCATCCCACATCCTACATTGGCAATCAAGGAATTCCAAACAAAAATTCTGAAGCTGGGGTCCTCATTTTAAGCCAAACGGAAATAGCTCCTGCCCGGGTCGTTGGTTTTCTTTCACAGGTGCAAGGACTTGAACGGATCACTTACGCTTACGAATCGCTACGTGGTTAACACGTTTTTAAATCTTCGATTTTTGGCCTTCTACATGCCTTCCCAATGAAACAATTATTTGTCACTGCTTTCTGTTACTTTTTCAACCAAATAATATCGTTTTTTGTGTACTTTACGGTACCTTAATCTTTTCTCTCTTATATCCTTGCTCCTTCATAGACCCCTTAACGATCTCTGCTTTGCCCATCATATTCTTAATTCCTCTATTTCCCATCCTTAACAGTCACTTCAGATTTTATCAAAAAGGCCCGGCAGGGATTTACCAAAAAATTTAACTGTGGTACCAAAAACAAAAAAAATTGACCAAAAAGACAGAGTAAAACCCAAAAAAAAACAAAGAAACAAAGTCGCTCGGCTTCTTCCATAACTTGTCCAACCTCTCCGATGCAGAAAATCGATCATTATCATCGATCGATCATCACCCAACTAAATGTAAATATGACTAAAAAGTTTCAAAATGCTAGTGAACTAGTGAATGTCTGAAAGAACTTATTTTCACGTTATCGACTCGTCGATTGTAAAATTCGCTATTTCCGAGTTCACTTTATCGATGTTCAATGACTTTTTACGTGCTAGAAATAGCAAATTACAAATACTCACAAATTTTCAAATGTCAAAATGTTCCCAAGTATCACAAACGCTCAAGAACGTCTCTTTCTAAAATAACATGATAAACATGATAAAAACTGATGACCTGAACGCGTTAAACAGGTAGATGCAACTCGTTGTTGGGTCGATTCGGCGGCGGAAACACAAAGTATTTTTATCTCAAAATTATAGATTGTTTGTTTGGTATTTGAAGAGACACGAAGTTTTGATGGTGATAAACTGCCGCGCGGCTCATCCTAGAGGCATTCATTGCCGCTTTGGAAACGTTGAAACCATGTACGGCATTGTCTATCGCTAATATTTTTACTTCTCCAACAACAGAAATAATTATACGATGCGATTCAGCCGCACATTTTTTCTTGTTTTAAATCGTAAAGCAATCCAGCCTGAATCAAAAATTTTTGGTCTTACATTTAAGGATCGTAAAAGGAATGATGAAATTTCGAAAAGATTGTTTACATTGTTTACAATCATTTTACATATTTGAGTTTGTTTTTATGCAAAAAGCCGGAAGAAAGCTCTTTTGAAATTCTAGAAAAATAAAAAGTGAGCAGAAGTTTGAAAGTTGCCAACTTCTTTAACATCTAGCATAGCTGTGATTTGTCTTTTTTTGCGCAAAGCTTCAAATATTTTATCAAGAATGTTTTTGACACCGGTTTTTTAAAAAAGAATAAATCAAAGATAAAAATGGATTGAAAATTGAGCAATGATTTTTTCTGGGGTTCAAAAAGGAAATTGTTCTGAAGAAAAGGCAAATGCTGAGGGGAAAATGAAATGTAAAAGAATGAAGTATAGAATAAAAATGAATGAAATGAATGAATGAAAATGAAAAGTATTGGTCATTTTTAAAAGTTTATCAAGTTGACGGGAAAGATTACTTTAATGTAACAGTATCCATTGTAACATCTACCGTAAACTCACCGTTTTCTAAAACATTTCCCTTTCCTTCAAATTACCGTAACCTTGTCTTCATTTTGTCGTGATTTCTACCATAATCTTGTCTGCTTTTTGTCCTAATTTCTACCGTAGTCTTGTCTCCATTCTGTCCTAGTTTCTACCGTAACCTTGTCTTCATTTTGTCCTAATTTCAACCGTAATCTTCTCTTCATTTTGTCCTAATTTCTACCGTAATTTTGTCCCAATTTTTCTCCAATCTATCCACTTTTTGTCTGATTCTGTAACGGATCACAAAGAATAGCAAAAAAATATATAAAGAGTGGATAGATTGATAAAAAAATAGACAAGATTACGGCAGTGTAAGGGAAAGGGACACGTTTTAGAAAACAAGGCCTTTCACGTTATTCAACAAATTTTCAATTTTCACGAATATTTTAATCAATCACAAATCGGTTGTAGGCGCTCCACCGGTCGTTTTCCACAACTTATGACAGTTTGCGCATAAAAGATGACCATTTAGCGGATGACATCGTTCATTGTAATCGTCACCCAATTGCTTTTTGCAGCCCTGAAAGGTTGTAATGAGGAAATGCACGGCCCACCTGGCATGACTCGATGCCAAGAAGCGTGTTCGGGGCCCGGTTGCGGGTGCCTGACATTTGCAAGTGGTTACTTTTTCTGGGGAACATACATAGAAATGAGGACATCATTGAAGTGACCGAATGCGAATGGGAACAAGGATTCGAAATTGATTGGCTATTTGACGATGGGAAAAGCGGAAAGTCGATTGTCAAGGCGGGAGACACCGTCAAAAGTGACGGAATCGAGATCGGGACCATGACAATTGCATCGGATCGGACTCTTCTCCCCAGGACTTTTGCGAAAACGACCGAAAGGACAAGAATCCTGTCGGAAAGTGAAATCCAGGCAACCCGATTATTCGTCTGCCCAAACAAAGAGAATGCTGCGGGATTGACAAAGGAGTGCCGACTCGACTCGAAGCAAATCGATTGCCGTCAAGCGGATGACCGGATGTTGTGCGAGAGTCGCGGTAACGATGTCCTGGTCGACGAGTCGAGAGTTCTGCCACAAATGATTGGAGTGAACCTCTACAAGGAGACGGACGGCGAGATCAAAGTTCAAGCCAAAGGCTCATCCACCATTCAAGTCAAGGTCAATGGATTGAAGGCGCAGACACAAGTGGATGTGTCGGCGTGTCATTTGATGGAAAGTGACCGGCTGCTTTGCGTGTGAGACTGGGGCCAGCCTGAAGTAACTTTGTTGTTCCGAATTCGGTAAACAACTGGCCGAATTGCAATGTGGAAAAATCTCGGCGGTACTCCAATGCGATGGCACCCAGCAGAAACGAGTAACCAACATGAGATTCCTGCAAGCGGTGATCGATCAAGAGTGCGAGCTGAAGTGTCCAGGTGGGACAAGGAAAGCGAGGGTCACCGGTCTACGTTCCAAACTACGGAAATCGATGGGTCACTGGAGACCCGACAATAAATGAGCGATCAATGTGGGATGAAGGAGTTCGCGGAGGCTGTGATGACGGATCATCTCCCCATCCTTCTAAGTTTTATTGCCGTAATGCTCCTCGTGCCCAAGCTTATCAAATTTGTTGTTGTTAGATTGTTCCTTTAGCCTTTTGCGCGCGGGAGTGTGCAGAAAAGTAGCTCTTTTCTGTGAAATCTTATTTAATGTTTTGATTCTGAATATCTCTGATTCTCTTGTCCTTCCTCTAAAGATCGTTTGTGTGATAAAAAAGACGGATCCCACTTTGTATTGCTTTTCTTTGGCTTTGAAACACCGAACCAACTATTGATTCTATTTTATTATATTTTCTCGCTAGATTAGTATTGTGCTAGATTCGGAATAAATATCTAATAATCATTGCCCCATCGATACCCTCTCACGCACTGCACACCATCATTTACAAGTCGTCTTTAAGAAATTAGTCGTAAAAAATAAGGGCAGCTTTCCTTTTAGGGATTTTTCAAAAGTATGATTTTCCAGCTTAAATTCAGCTCACTCAGTTGAGTGCTTTTAAGGGTATCCTTGATTATTAATTTGAAAAGTTCAGATATGAAGGATTTTTTGGATCAAATTTAACTTTATCTACGTTTGATCGCTTCTCATTCCTTTTTGGTACATTTTTCGTTGGCTTTATGTTTTATTGGAGTCAATTTTACTATCAGATACAATTTGTTGGGTTTCTACTGAAAAATGGCTACTGCTCTAAATTAACCTAAAAAAGTGGTTTTTGATGAGAAAAGGGACTTCAGTAAATCATACAAATGTCAATTCCAATGACTTCTTTTTATTTTCAGATACCAGAATGCCCGTTGCAACGCGTACACAAAAACGGGAGCAAGAACCGGAACCGAAGAAGATTGGAGATTTACCTCTGGAGCTGGTTGAGAAGATCGCACATCATCTCGATGTGGAAGACGTGCGGAAATTGATGATGGTGAACAAGAGGCTCTACGCGAGCTATGCAATGGATCAATCGATCGTTTTCGGAAAGCACGTCGCTGTGGTTGCCCTCGCACAGCCTCCAGGATACGAAAAACCGAAGAATTGGATCCAGAAGTTCGTCGATTCTCCTTACCTTGAACTGGATGCAACTCTTCATCCTTTCGCCAAACGGATTGATTCATGCGACAAGTTGGACATCTTTGTCGAAGCCAAATGGACCGATTGGATGCTCGTGGACCAGTTGAAATCCGTGAACCAACTCAAGTTCATGTATGAGACCAGGGAAGATTGCCTGAAGTTCCTCACCAATTTTTGTGCATCGGTCAAAACGCACGCAGAACTGTACATCAATCGATTTGAACAAGATCAAGAAGTAAAAGAGCAACTCGGCAAATTCATCGAAAACCAATTGAACGGATGCCAAGAGATATTTCTATTATTCCGACTTCTATATTCCGACTTCGGGGATTGCTTCCACTTCTACCACGAGGCCATGATGAAAACGCAAGTCAAAATGATTGCAATTGGCTGGACCTTTCCCCACGAATTTGAACAAATCGTCCGCTGCATTGTCAATCGAGGAATTCCTAGTAAGAATTCTGAAGCTGTGATTTTCGTTCTGACGCAAACGAAAGAGGTTCGGGTTCGGGCCCAGGTCGTTGATTTTCTTTCACAAAAGCACGGACTTGAACGAATCGATGACGGCGAAAATCACTCGGCACTCGTTTCTCGTGCAAACGACTTTTTTAAGGGTTGTAGGTTCGACCAAATTCGACTCTTTTGGCGTCGAGATGACTATCTTGAGAGTCTTTTTGATGAAAATAGTTTGTGTTTCCGCCGCCGAATCGACCCAACAACGAGCTGCATCTACCTGTTTGACGCGTTTTCAAATTGGTCTAAATTGTTTTTGGCCTTCTACATGCCTTCCCAATGAAACAATTATTTGTTGGTGCTTTCTGTTACCTTTTCAACCAAATATTATCCTTTTTCAACAGAATAGAATTATTTATTCTTCAGTCTCTACAATTTTTCTCTTCTTGTGTTCAATGAGTTTACTGTGTGTCCATTTGTCAATTAAACATGTTCCGTTGTCACTTTTTCATGTTTACATGAATAAAGTATTGATATAGCTCTTGGCTCCTGGTTCGCTACTAATTGGTTATGATACCATTACAGATTTATGTTGTAACTTTTTCCAGAGATTACGGTAACTTTCCCTAGTACTCATTGTAAGTCAGCTAGAATAATCCCTGACAAACTAAAATCCTACAAGACTTGATGGAGCTGAACAAGTTTCGTTTAGATCCAACTCTACCGACATCCAGCTCTTCTCTGATGTCTTTCCGAAAGGAGCGGCGCTCTCCTGCTCAAAAGAATCCCGGCTGCAATCTCAATGTGACGTCGTGATTTTATCGTTGACAATTAGTGACACAAATGCAAATAGCGAAGAATAGTATGGAGCTGCAGTGGGTTTAAACTCGGTCAAAGTCAGCAGTATCGTATTTTGCATATTATCTAATATCTTCTATAGATTGAGGAACGTTGGCGGCGTTGAGTGGGTGTGAGAAGGAATTGGTTAGGAAGCCGCGCGTTGTAAGTTTTAAGTTTGTGTCTTCATTTTAGAAATTTCAGTGGTTCGACCTCAAGTCCGACGAGCCGGCGGAAAGCACGACCGTTGACGGACTACTGCAAATGACCTATGATCGAATCGAAGAGAATCGAGATCGAGACTTGGAGGAACGATGGAAACGGTAATGTGTCGTCGTTTTAATGTTTCGAAAACTTATTTAGAATCAACACACGTGGAGATGTTTCAGCAACTGGGAGCAGCCTGTTAATCCTGAAGATCTTAGTGGTTTGCTTAAAATTGTGAAGATGAAGCAGGAAATTTTAGATGATGCAACTAGATTTTCTACGAAATCGGCCGCTTCGGGAGCTACAGAGTTCTCCGAAGCAACTAAAGATGAACTGCAACAAATCAATGGTATTTAGCTAAATTGTCATGAAAAGGCCACATAATTTATTTGGTTTCAGATTTGATGCTGAACGCACAAAAGGACATCAAGCAAAGCCCACGTCTAGAGCCCACCTAGGACGCGTTGAACAACGAAGCAAAAGCGATTGTGGCTGAAAGTATTTTGTTTTTGTGATACTTGGGAACATTTTGACATTTGAAAATTTGGGCGAGTATTTGTAATTTGCTATTTCTAGCACGTCAAAAGTCGTTAAGCATCGATAAAGTGAACTCCGAAATAGCGAATTTTAACAATCGACGAGTCGATAACGTGAAAGTAAGTTCTTTAAGACATTCACTATTTAACTAACATTTTGAAACTTTTTACTCATATTTACATTTAGTTGGGTGACTATGATCGATCTTCGGCAACGGAAAGCTTGGATGAGGCAACGTTTCGCCAAATTATGGAAGAAGCCGAGCGACTTTGTTTCTTTGTTTTTTTTTTGGGTTTTACTCGGTCTTTTTGGTCAATTTTTTTTTGTTTTTGGCACCCAGTTAAATTTTTTGGTAAATCCCGGCCGGGCCTTTTTGATAAAATCAGAAGTGACTGTTAAGGACGGGAAATAGAGGAATTAAGAATATGATGGGCAAAGCAGAGATCGTTAAGGGGTTTATGAAGGAGCAAGGATATAAGAGAGAAAAGATTAAGGTACCGTAAAGTACACAAAAAACGATATTATTTGGTTGAAAAAGTAACAGAAAGCAGTGACAAATAATTGTTTCATTGGGAAGGCATGTAGAAGGCCAAAAATCGAAGATTTAAAAACGTGTTAACCACGTAGCGATTCTTAAGCGTAAGCGATTTGATAGCTTCTTTTGATCAGATTCAAAGGTCTATCCCTCCTGAGGCTAATTTTGCCAGTGAGATTATCAAGACTATCAAGACAAGACTTGAAACAAACAAACAAACAAAACAAACAAATTCAAAGAAAAATAAAAAAGTGAGCAGAAGTTTGAAAGTTGCCAACCTCTTTAACATCTAGCATAGCTGTGGTTTGTCTTTTTTTGCGGAAAACTTCAAATATTTTATCAAGAATGTTTTTGACACCGGTTTTTAAAAAAAGAATAAATCAAAGATTAAAAATGGATTGAAAATTGAGCAATGATTTTTTTCTGGGGTTCGAAAAAGGAAATTTTTCTGAAGAAAAGGCAAATGATGAGGGGAAAACGAAATGTAAAAGAATAAAATGTAAAATAAAAATGAATGAATGAATGAAAATGAAAAGTATTGGTGATTTTTAAAAGTTTATAAAGTTGACGGGAAAGATTACTTTCATGTAACAGTATCCATTGTAACATCTACCGTAAACTCACCGTTTTCTAAAAAATTTCCCTTTCCTTCAAATTAACGTAATCTTGTCTCCATTTTGTCCTGATTTCTACCGTAATCTTGTCCCAATTTTTCTCCAATCTATCCACTTTTTGTCTGATTCTGTAACGGATCACAAAGAATAGCAAGAAAAATATAAAAAGTGGATAGATCGATAAAAATAGACAAGATTACGGAAAGGGAAAGGGACACGTTTTAGAAAACAAGGCCTTTCACGTTAACTGAATATTTTAATCAATCACAAATCGGTTGTCGGCGCTCCACCGGTCGTTTTCCACAACTTGTGACAGTTTGCGCATAAAAGATGACCATTTAACGGATGACATCGTTCATTGTAATCGTCACCCAATTGCTTTTTGCAGCCCTGAAAGGTTGTAATGAGGAAAATTGCTGTATTTTGTGCTCAAACTTGTAAACCCATCCGTTCCTCGTGCACGGAATTCATCATTTTACAAGAAAAATGGTGAATCCATGGCGCGAGGTAGGATGGGGTTTACAAATTTGAGCACAAAGTACACCACAGAGCCGAAATTCTCACCCATAAACTTAAAGAACTAATAGAAATAGTTTGAACGTAAAATTTGACCGATAGATTCCCGAAATCTCACTTTTCAAACTCACCATAAAAGTTAAAGTATTTTCTGAAATATTTATAAGATATTCAGTCTAGAATAAGCTTTAAAATCCTCAATACAATGAATTTGGATTTAAATTTTTAACAATTTTACCTCACAAGAGTAGCACTCAAGATGATAATCGTTGCCCAAAGCGACCACTCGAATTGTTTCACCGCTTCCCTGAAAGAAATCAATATTTATATTACCTTTAAAAGATATTCAATCATTGTTTAGCTATAGTACGGTATCTTTTGACTAAAGTATTCCTACTTAATCGTTTTCTGCTTTCTTGTAAAAGCGGACGAACGTGCTTTGTTTGATTTTTGGCGAACGTGCTTTGTTTAACTTAATTTTAAGCCTTTGTACTGTAAAAGATTATCAGGCTTTTGATTCACTCTTCAAGGATTACGATAGTCGACTAAGTACGGTATCTTTTTCTTTACGTACAATGAGTACAATCATTGCCTACCCCTTTTGGAAGGATCGCTTTTCGACACGAGTGACACCTTGGCGCGTATTTTTCGTGATAGTCTGTTGTGCAGTAGATCTGAAAAAGGATTGTTTTTGTTTTATATTAGACAGGTGATTTGGAAGTACCGTAATATCTCTAATCGAATCTGTTTTTGAGCTTATGTTAAAGATTAGGATTGAGAAGAATCCTCTATATTCTATTGAGAAGAATCTTCTCTATCTTCTTTTTGAGAAGAATACGGTAAGTAAATGATTTAGTTCTTTTAATTGAGAACAACCTGATCTTGATCATCGACAGCAAATTGAATCCCATCGAGACATTTGTGGCATACAGAGCACGTGAAACAGTGAGGGTGAAAAGAGCGGCCAACGGCTTGCAGAACCTGGAGTTTTGTGAATGTTTTGGGACAAGGATTTTTAGAAGTTGTGATACGCAATACTGACTTGATCTTTTACAAATCCCATACACGAATGATCTAGACATCTAGACATCTAGACATCTAGACATTTAGACAGATCTAGACACTATACTTGCTCATTCCCTAATAGAAATTCAGCCGTTTGGCTTCTCCGGGTTTAGCTTTTGAGATGAAGGACCCACAAAAGCCGGGCGATACCGCACAAAGTATTGGAACCAAATAGGAACCAAATAGGAACCAAAGAGAAAAAGGCCAAAAGGGAAAAAACAAAAAAAAAAAAAAAAAAAAAAGAAGGGGAGGACCAAAGAGGAACCAAATAGGAACCAAAGAGGAACCAAATAGGAACCAAATAGGAACCAAATAGTAACCAAACACCTCGCGATGAAAAAAAGTTAGTCGAACACTAGGTGCTAGACTTGCTAGCTATCAGCTCATATTGGTGCTAATAGTAATCTAGTATCAGACTTAAAAATAACTAATCTGTTCTCTAAAATACCGTATCCTAGTTGCAGCGTAATGTAGGCATGAACAAATTCTAATCCGAACCTAATCACCACTTGTTTTCTCAGCGTTCGTATGTAAATTTGATTTCAACGAAGAATTTAGGCAGCGTTTGAATATTTTACGTCACTTTACGGGCTCACGTAAGACTTGCGACTAGGATTTTACAGTAATCCGGCAACTAGAGTGCGGTAGGCTTCTCTGAAGGAAACCTTTAATCTAAGTGAAGAATAGATATCCAATTTCTGAATTTTAAAAAAACCGTACCATTTCGACGATCGGTTTCTTGCAAACGGCACACTTTTCAGCTCTTTTATGCAACTCGGCAACCAGGAAATCCTCTTGGCACAAAAATTTCTCATCCATCAAGTAGAATTTGAGGTCTCTGAAGTGATAAATCTTCGATTTTATGCAAAATTTCCTATTTTCTACTTGAGATTTCTTCCGCATTGCTGACAATTGAAGCATTTTGGGTGATATTTTCTCTCCATCGCCACCGTTGTCTCCTCGTTGTAGTAAAGGGGATCCTTACAGCCGTGACAATTGCCTAGAATTTGAAAATATTTACTCGTCTTCGATTTTCTCATATTTTTGTCAGCTTTAGCTATACTTTATCAGTCTCTTAGTCTCTTATTCTAGCTATTCTTGCTACCAAAATTCTAGCTACCAAAAAGCTCGCGCAGTCTAATAGGACACCCGAAAAGAAAACAAATGACTGAAAATCTTTAGGTATCAATAGGCAGTAAGGGATAAAGCCCTTCCCTGACGCATTGAGATACGTGTTGCTGTAGCTCATTGGTAGAGCGTTGGCCTGGTAAACGAGAGGTGACAGGTTCGAGTCCCGGCGCCGACCAACCCAACCCATAAAGGGGGCAAACAGGCAAAAAGTCACAATTCCCATTTCACCCACCAGCTTTCTGTGCCTCCAATCTCATTTGTTGTACGCCTTCTCGAAGTTGTGCCGACAATCTCCCGAATTTCTCATCTTGTTTTGCCAGCGCTGAGTCGATCTCTTTCCACCGAGATGCGCGGTCATCAGTCGACAGAAATTGTCTGAAAACAATTCAGTTGTCTGAAATGTCTGAAAACTCATTTCCACGAGAAAAATGAAGAATTCAGTGCATTAGAAAGGGTGTGTTTAGAAATTTGAGCGCAAAAACTAGATCTCAGCTTACCTTGTTGGTTGTGGACTCGCAGATTTGGGCTTCTGATATCCGATCGGTTTCTCTCTTCCATATTCCGGATAACTTATGCCATTCTTTGGGTATTTAGTGGTGGATCCTCGATCCGACGATGAGTATTCACTCGTACTCGGCGACGAGGTGTATCTCGTTGGCTCACTCGTCAGAATGTCCACCTGAAAGAGCTTTTTTCAAGAATTTCCTTTCAAAATCACCTTTGGGAAATGCCCATTTTTCTCAATCCCGATCACCGTCTGTTCTCGATTTGTTTCCATTCCGTAACTGTACGTTTTGCCAACCATTTGTTCTTTTTTCACCCCATTGTAGCGAAGGGATTCAATGTTGTGCCCGGGTTTGTAAGTTGGAGAGACATCAACTGAAAAGAATGATTTGATTTGGAATTGATTGGGAATTGATTTGGATTTGATTTGTTGACATTATGTTCTCTAACAGGTGCTGCAATCTTTCCATCAAATTTTGTTAATTTCAATCCCGATCGATTCAGATTTTGATTCTTTATCGATTGACAAAAAAGCAAAGAAGTTTGTCGGTGGCGGGAGTCGAACCCATCGCGCAGAAAGCGGCATGGATTCTGTCGACCGGCACACTATCCACTACGCCACCGCTGCTCTTTTTCCGGACGCGTGTGGCGTGCTCTTAATAGCCAGGAGGCAATTTTTGAATCGAAATGGAGATGGAAAATGATCGAAACTTCAAATGAATTTTTCTCGCCAGGATTTTTGATTTGGGCAAAAACTGAATGATTCAAAATCCGAAGGAAAGATTACGGTAGATTGCCAAAGTATCCAGCTTTTAGAAAAGGTAGACAAGCAATATTATTGATTGACAATTAATAAGCAAATCTTTTCCAAGAAACAAAATCTATTCACATTTTAAAATTTCAAAAACAAACTTGACGTTGGTGGATAAGTTGGTCGATTGATTTGTGGCGGATTTGGGTAAGCTTTTGGTGTTGTTGGAAGATATTTCGAGGAGAGATCTGATGACGAATCTTTTGTCGTATTCCGAAGAGTTGATGGAGGTGACGGGGATTTTTGAGATGAACCCGATGAGTAGTCACTAAAATTCATTTTATGAAACTTTCCTTGACAATTTCTCTGTATATTTAAGCAAAAAACATATTGGGTTGTCCAGTTTCGCTTTTGGCTCGGTTTTCGTTGACTTTTTGTTGGCCAAAATTTGTTAAAACTTCTCATGACTGTATTTTTCAAGAGTTGACAGAATATCAATTAGTAGATAATTGATTTTATCAATCAATTATCTACTGTTTAGACTCGTATTTGGAAGGTCAACTTTGACTCAAATTTTCTCTATGTTCTTATATCTGAGTGTACCAAATAAATTCTACTTTTCTATAACCAAATTTAATGAAGATTCTCTGAAAAGCAATAATAAGTTGATTCAATCTCTATACCTCGAGTTATAGACCATCTAAGTTGATCAACTTTTTCGAGTAGGTATTGCTTTCGGGTAGGTTGTCCAGTTATGAATGCGCGTTTTTTACTATTTTGTAAATTTCTCAAGATACCGAAATCAAGAAAAAGATATATATGAGGATTATTCAAAAGCTGAAGATCTCCTCTACATTTTGATATAAAAAGTTTTTGAATTTGTACAGCTTTTGGGCAAATTGACTGCACAGAAGAAAAGGTGGCCAAAAAATGGAAAGGTGCCTTTGGATCAAGTTTTGGCTCCGCTCAAATTAAGTTAACCATTTGATGTTTGGCCAATATATATATCAATACAACTTTTTTTAAAATATAACAATTTCAGAGCATCTTTACTTTTCTTTTCTGGGCGGTTATTTTACACTATAAAACTTGAGGAATAGTTAAGCTGAAATGGGTTTTTTTTGAAAACGACCTCTCCCTTTGTGCAGTCAATTTTCCAAAAAGTTGAATGAATTGAAAAACTTTTTTATTCCAAAATGTAGAGGAGATCTTCAGCTTTTGAATGATATATAACACTCATATACATCTGTTCGATATCTTGAGAAATTTGCAAAATAGTAAAAACGCGCAAAATAGTAACAAAATAGTAATAACTGGAAAACCCAATATTTTAACTTTAAAAACAAAAGCAAAAATCTCTTTTACATACCTGTAGTTTCCATTTGAATACAAATTTGTGATGCCGGGCGGCGACGGTAAAGACGAGGAGGCGGTTGCGGTGGAGCCACGCTGAAATTCATATTCATTTTGGAATCTTTTCTTTAACTCTTATCCCTTTTTAAATTTTAGTTTCTATTAATAAAAGATTAAATTTGAATAAAAAAAAGACAATTCTGGTTTAGATTTACTGCAGATTTAGGCTAAAAACCTTTGGGAATTGTTCTTAATTTTGTTCTTAATTGGTTATCTAAAGGTTTTCTTTCTACGGACTACTTCATCAATTTTTTATTTATTAAAAATAGAAGCGCAGCCTATAATAGAAGCAATTTTATGAAATTTATGAAATGATTGAAAAATAGAAGAGCATTTGCTTTTATCTTTCAATCATTTGTCTATAGATCAATCAAAACTCACCGACGATGGCCTTTTTGATGTCTGATTCTGAGCCACCTCTTTCGCGTAGGCTCTGAATTCGTTGTAAATTAATTCGTTGTAAATTCAGATTAAAGAAAAATAAAGTTTTAAATGCACTAGTGTGTTTACAAATCAAAAAGTACACTAAGTACACAAAGTACACGAAAAAAAGCGAACCTTCCCGAGTCGACCGAGCTGCTTTCCTGGGAGCTCCACGGGTTTTTCGGGCGTGACGCCGAGAGCACCTGGATTTTTAAGAGATTTCTCAAGAATCTAGAGCTTTACATCAATACGGTATATTATTTATGAGGTATTACGATATAGATAAGGTTTAGATAAGGTTTAGATAAGGTTTAGATACGGTTTAGATCACAAATTCCTCACCATTTGTCTCAATCCACTCGCTTCTTCTCTTGAAATTTCCTCTTTCGTTTGCGCGGCGGCCAACTTTCTTCCCAAAGAAACCATTCCATTTTCCGATGCACTTGTCGGATTACCGGTGCGCATTTTCTGAAATTTATAAAGTAAAATCTATATTTCATTTATAGGTATTAGATCTAGATTTATAGATATTAGATCTCTGGTAATTTAATGGTAAAAAAAGGTCTTTAAAACTTTGATAGGCTACTATTTAGGATACTATTTAGGGTACTATTTAGGCTACTATTTAGTTGATAAATCATGGTTATATAAGGAATTGTAGGGGGGGGCAATTGTTGTTTAAAAGAAGTGAACGAATGAGTGTATGTCATTCACGCGTGACAACAATACAAATATGGACCGGATGGGGGGAAAAGAGGGGGCAAAAAGAAGGGAAAATGGTGTTGAGATTGAGAGAAACTCTTGAGAAAGGGGACAAATCGAGAGAGAGAATCGGAATTTGCATACAAACAAACGCATAACTATGTGCGGTACTTTAAATGAAAATCGTTTATTGGTCCATTTGTCTTTTAAAGTCAATTTCGGTTCATTTAAAAGCAAATTCAAGAGTGAAAACATGTGTTTTTCGTAAAAAAATCTATAAAAACTTCTACGAATAAAATGGCTGAATGAATTTTTCTGAAAATTTGGCTATATACCTAACTTTCTAAGCTCTATCTTTTACCTACTAACACGAAGATAGGTTCCTTTAGCTAAAGTGTCTAAACGATTATCTAAAACATTGTCTAAACGTCTAAAATCATCAAGCCACCGCCCTTTTTGACTACCCGACTTTATGCTCACAGCAAAAATCCAAAAATAAGAGATTTTAAACTCATTTTAATGTTATTTTGCAGAAAAACAATTGGCCTTTTGAATAAAATAATGCGTAGTGCAATTGGTGGATTTATTGGTTTTAACGAAAGTACGAAAAGAAACAAAAAGACTTTCTGGACAGCCGTCTAACTAACTAACAAAAATCTAACTTTGACCTTGAATTTCTTGGCGTACAATTGTCCAATTGAAACAATTTTGGTATCAATCGACAGAAGAAGACTAAACGAGTTTAGTGATACCAAAATTGTTTCAATTGGACAATTGTGCGCTAAGAAATTCTGGGTCAAAGTTGGCAAAAAAGGGGCGGATCTATTGTCCGAGAATGAGTGACCGTCTGACTTTGGCCTTGAATTTCTTCCCTCACAATTGCGCAATTGAAACAATTTTGGTATCAATCGACAGAAGAAGACTTAACGAGTTTAGTGATACCAAAATTGTTTCAATTGGACAATTGTGCGCCAAGAAATTCAAGGTCAAAGTTAGATGGGAAAAAGAGGTGAACTTTTTGACAATAGGTTCAAAAAGAGCCTGTTATTCGGGAATCTTTTAAAATTACATTCTAAATCTCGAACTTTTCAATGATAAACTGTCAATTTTCCCTTTAACTTGCCCAATCTATGATGAATGGCCTTGAAGTGAGTTTTTCTGTTTAAAATTTCATCAAATATTAAGATCTATAGATAGGTTTTGGTTCGAATCCGCTTTCTGGTTCTAGTCTGTAAAAACACCCTCTCTGGCACACTTAATTCTTGTTTTTTTTGCGACAACGAGAAAAATGAAGAATTCAGTGTGCCAGAAAAGTGCGTTTACTGATTTGAACATAAAGTACACAGCATGATGCAGATTTCTAATCGATCTAGAGTTCTTTTAGAGTCCTTGTATGGTCATCCACTTGTCATTCCCCGTTTGAGAGCCAATGTTTGTGCGAATTGTGCCTTCTCTTCTCGAATCCAATTCCCCATCAAAACCATTTCCCTTTCCTTTTTGTATTTCCGGTGTTCTCTCATCTCGTTCACTTCACAAAAGCCTCTTCAATTCAAAGGTTTTGTGTGTACAATGACGTGGGAATTGTTGAAGCTAGTCTAGTTCTACCTAGCTTAGAGTTGGGTCCATTTAAAAATTTAAATTATTCTCCTTAAATTTAAATTCTAAATCCTTAATTTTAACATCCTCAAACCTTCTGTTTGTCCAAATTGAGCGCATTCAGCTTGGAGACAATCTCGCTAGTGCTCGGTGACGTTTCAGTGACTGAAAAGTTCATTTTAGAAAAATAAAAAAATGTTATCAAAGGGTTTTGGTGGACTCAAAGTTATAGAAAGCCATGATTTCTCATCCGCAAAATGAGCTGTTAACAAATTTTTGTTTTCGGGACATATATGACTTTAATGAGCCAAAGAACATATGAAAATTTGTCTATGCTGTAATAAAGAAGTGAAGAAATCGGCAAGAAAAGGTAGATTTCTGGAGAGGTGATTGAACTCTGGATCTTCTGCTTTTGCTTTAACCACCGAACTATCCAGTAGCTTAACTTGGCAAGAGAAAGAGGGAAGAAAAGAGGAAGAAGAAAGAAAGAAACACGCAAACAGAGTAATGGGTTTTTTAGTTAAAAAAGTTAAAAAAAATTTTCACAAACCAAGCTGTCTCGGAGGTGGCGGTTTCCCGAAAGACTCTAGCTCCTCGAGGAAAGCCGATGGACTGAAATCGGCGGCCATTTGATAAATTTGAGGTGGATGAAGGAAACTAAATATAAATTTTACCATTAAGTACTTAAAACGTTTAAAGAATCGAAATAACACTTCAAAGCTGAATATCGTATATAAAAGTGTACAAAAGATGGGCTCAAATCGAATAATTCATAAAGGGAAAGCAGAACGAGAACCATTTGTACAAATCGGGATTAGTCACAAAGGAATGGGTGGAAAGGGTCTAAACAAAAACCATTCGGGCACAGCCGGCCCTCCCCCCTTCTCTCTCCTTTTTTCGTCCTTGAATACCAAAGAAAGCTATTCCTTTCATCGACTGAATTCAAAGTAAGCTTGCTTATCGTAGCTTTAAAATTTCCAAGTACATTAGTAACTAACTCCCTTACCCAACACTTCTCTAAAATAATTTAACACAAAATCCAAGACGAAGTAACAAGAAGATCGCGCTACGAGAACATAACAGAATTCGGAAGTAAACTTAGTGGGACTAGGCATAAAAGCTATATAACATTGATGCTGAAAAATGAAGAATGAACAACATCATGGAATGCCAAAAAATGAAAAGAATGGCAGAAGGGGGATTTTTTTGTGGGGTACGGTAGTGTATCCACGCTTTAGAAAGCGCCGCCAGTCGCTTTAAGCCGGGTCTTAGCGGCCTCTTTAAGGGCTCGACCCGTTGCAAGTGTGGCTGAGTGGTAGAGCGCTCGTTTTCAGATCGGGACCAGACGAGTTCGACCCCGGTCTCGGATATTGATTTTATCTTTTCAAGAAGTGCTTACTAGTTTCAAGAAGTGCTAGTGTTCTTTGTGCGACTAGTGCGAAATCATTTGTGCTGACTGCTAGTGTTCTTTGTGCTGACGCATCGCATTCAACAAAAAGCAACAACTTTCCAAATGGCTTTATTTAAACGCTTTTCAGCAAAAACTAATCGAAATCTTCATTGTGACATTGTTTGTGAGGGTTTTTAGGGAAAAGAAAGAATGGATTGAGGCTAATTCGCGGCTAGTTTCATTCTTTTATGACCGCCAATCTCCTGCAAAATGTCAAATCCAGAAAATCGTTGCAAGGTCTAAAAAAAACTGGAAAAATTTTGCACCAAATGGTTTACGTTTAGAAAAGTGTTTTCCTTTTGTGCTCGCATGTAAACGCATCTTTTCTAGAGCACTAGAGCATTCTAGAGCAATTCAGTGCGCCAGAAGGCTTGTGTTTATGAGATCACAAAGGAAATCATTTAATTTTCACCAATAAATTTGATTATATCCAAATTTTTAACCAATAATCAATAAAGGTTATATTATTAACCAATATAAAGGTTATATTATTGATTATTGGTTAAAAATTTGTATATAAACAATATAAACAAAATACAAATAGATATAATATTATTAAAATAAGAATTTTAAGACTTATTCTCAGTTTTTAGGCTAAAAAAATCGAAAATCGATAAGTTCAAATCAAATTTTTCCTAAAAAATTCGCTTATCTTTCGTTTTTGGGGGCAAATTCTCTTTTTATGATTTCGGAAAGAAAAAAAAAACGTTTTAGAATTTTACAGCATTCTTTCTAATAGTAGTGCACCGCGCTGAGCCGAGTTGATGACTATTTTACGGCTTCCAAGCTTGCAGAAGCTTGCAGAAGCTTTCCCAGAAGCTCAGCACTCAAATCTCCTACTAGATCTCATCGTCAGCTACATTTTCCGACCCCACATCAATAGGTTCTGATGAGCGGTTCTCGAGATTTCGAGCAATTTAGGCAACGCTCACTACTATTAGAGAGAATATGGTAGTTTGACCTTCTACCTTTTCATAGCAATGCCGATGAGAGCGATGAGAGGATCGTCGGGTTTTCCCGGTCCACTTCCACCCCCACTCCCACCACCCATCACTCTTGTCGTATAAACGAGATCGAGATTTCTAGAGTCTTGAATTTGGACCGGTTTCAAGTCAAGGTCGTAGATAATTAAAGGATTTTAAAGAATTACTGTATTCTTTCTAATAGTAGTCACTCCGTCAAGCCGAGTTGATGACTATTTTACGGCTTCCAAGCTTGCAGAAGCTTGCAGAAGTTTTCACAGATGCTCAACACTCTAATCATCGTCAAGATCTCATCGTCAGCTATATTTTCCGCCCACACATCGATAGATTCTGATAAGCGGTTCTCGAGATTTCGAGGAATTTAGGCAACGCTACTATTAGAGAAAATATTAGAGAACTACTATTAGAGGAAATACGGTAAATGTAAAAAGTTATTTTAAAAAAAATTGAACAGAGATTGAAATAGGGAAATTTTGAAATGAAAAACGGGAACTTTATGAAATCATTTTTTGAAAAAATCAGAGAAATGAGGGGATTTTTTCCAGGGGAAATTCTCGAGAAAAATCACGCTTGAATCCGAAAACTTGAGCTTTAAGCTGAAAAACTACAGTAAAGCTCAAGTTTTTGGGATTCAAGCGTGATTTTTCTCCAGAATTTCATCTATTTACAAATAGATGAGAAATTTAGGGAATAATATAAATTTTTTGGAAACAGAATTCCGCGCCGATCAATTCATATGATCCGCGAAATTTGCATAAATCCGCAAAAAAAAATCGATTCTTTTTCATTTCCCCAACCATTCCCACAACCCAAATCCCATTTTTTCCCTTTCCAATTTCCATTCAGTGCTCTTTTTTTGGGTTGAGAGAACGATCCTTTCTCTAAATCTTTTAGAAGAAAAAAACAAAGAATTCCACAACAAAGAAGTCTATTTTTCTTTATTTTAATCTTTTTCTTACATTCGATTCTTATTTTTTATGATAATGGATAGATTTTTAAATAAAAATTTGAGAAAAATATAGGAAATTTAAACTTTTAAATTGAAATTAGAGGATGAAACATAAAAGTTTTTGTAAATTTTAGAAATAGAAATAGAAAATAGATAAAGATAGAAATAGAAATAGAAATAGAAAATAGAAAAACCGTAAATATTCTAATAGAAGATCGGTCTCTATTATTATTGGATTGGCAAAGCTGCCGGCTATTGGCAGAGCTGCCGGCTATTGTCAGAGCTGCCGGCTATTGTCAGATGTCCCAGTTTGAGCACTTCTCAAAAGAAACCCATTTTGGTGTCAATGGAAAAGTTGTAGAGAATCAAAAATTAAGCTTATATCCAAATTTCCAAAAAGATACACTCAGTAGTTTCGCTTAAAATGCAAGTTTTGTGAAAATTCGTAAATTTGGCAAAAGCTGGAGAGATCCTAGGTTGGCGTTTTAAAGCATGGTAAAACTACCGTACCCCTCCCAAGCGAGTTTTTTTCATTCTTGTTCATTTTATTTTATTCTTTTTGCGGTTTTGTCAACGTTTTAACGTTTTTTTCAACTAAAAAGTCACAAAAACAAAGCTTCCGCTATAGAAAATGATAAAAACCACTTAACTTAACATTAGTTGGCATATGGTTTCAATGGGGTTCCAATATGGTTGCAATATAGTTCCAATGCGGTTCCAATATGGTTCCTATTATAAAACAAATAAGGTTCCAATACGGTTCCAATACGGTTCCAATACGGTTCCAATATGGTTCCAAAGGGTTCCAATGTGGTTGAGATACGGTTCCAATATGGTTCGTAAAGTATTGGGTTGGTGAATTGAAAACTGCCGGCTATTGTCATATGTTTGAGACAAGTGTGAGACAAAAATGGAGAACTGGAGACTCAAAAATGGGGGAATGTCCCAGTTTGAGCACTTTCTTCAAAAGAAACCCATTTTGGTGTCAATAGAAAAGTTGTAGAGAATCAAAAATTAAGCTTATATCCAAATTTTCAGAACGATTCAAAAACTGGTTTTCAAGAAATGCCAAATTTACGAATTTTCACAAAGCTTGCAACAAAACTTGCATTTTAAGCGAAACTACTAAGTGTATCTTTTTGGAAATTTGGCTATAAGCCTAATTTTTGATTCTCTACAACTTTTCTATTGACACCAAAGTGGGTTTCTTTTGAAGAAAGTGCCCAAACTGGGACATTTCTTCATTTTTGAGTCTCCAGTCTTCCATTTTTGAGTCTCACACTTGTCTCACACATAAACCAAAATCCTACTATGAAAGAGGAATCCGCAAATTAAGGAAAAAAATGTTTAAAAAAGATTCCTTAAAAATTTCAGCAATAATTCAAAGATCATTGTTGAATCATTGCCAAAATTTCTTCATTATCTGATGGAAATCAGCTAAATTAGGTGAAAATTTCTGAAATTGTGATAGAATGGAAAAAGGAAATGGATGTTAAGAAGGCAAAAAAGGAAAGAGTAACGGAAAGAGTAAAAACAAAAGGAAAAAAAAGAGCAAAATTTTTCCCGAAAATGGGTCCAGCCCTTTTTTTTGTGTTGAAGAGGGTGAAGTGGTTGTTGAAAGGGAAACGAAGAACGGCACTTTGTGAGAACTCGTTTAGAAAATAAAGATTTTATTTGAGAAATATTATAGTTTATGAATACTGTAATCATTTTATCTTTTTATATCACAGTACTCACAGTACTTTTTATATTACAGTAATCTATCCAATATGCTCTCCATTTCCGTCTCTCCCTAATTCTTTTTCGTGCCCTATCTACAGTATCCAGAATTTTCAAAGAGTTACCAAAAAAAGCTACAAAAGAGCTACCACAGAGCTTCAAAAGAGCTTCGAAAGACGTCCAGAGCTACAAAAGAGCTTCAAAAGAGCTTCAAAAGGGCTACAAAAGAGCTTCAAAAGACTTCAAAAGAGCTTCAAAAGACTTCAAAAGAGCTTCAAAAGACTTCAAAAGACGTCCAGAGCTACAAAAGAGCTACAAAAGACGTCCAGAGCTACAAAAGAACTTCAAAAGAGCTTCAAAAGACGTCCAGAGCTTCAAAAGAGCTTCAAAAGGGCTACAAAAGAGGTCCAGAGCTACAAAAGAGCTTCAAAAGACGTCCAGAGCTTCAAAAGAGCTACAAAAGACGTCCAGAGCTACAAAAGAGCTTCAAAAGACGCCCAGAGCTACAAAAGAGCTACAGAAAAGCTT